TGGGCCATCTTCTACTGCTTTCCCAGGCCATAGCAGAGAGCTGGATCGGAAGTGGAACAGCCAGGACTCGAACCGTTGCACATATGGGATGCTGGCACTGCAAGCGGTAGCTTTACCTGCTATGCCACAGCTCTGGCCCCTGAACGGAGATTTGAAAAATCTGTAACTTGACAATGATAATTGGCTGGCATGCAAATAATGTTTTTATACAAAGAAAGACATAACTAGAGAGCATCACATCAATTTTCTCATCTATCCTAAATATATGGGACACAGAAATGTATTAACATTAGTCAATACTTTCTATATTTCAAAAAACAGAGATGTTTCACCTGGGTCTATAACCACAAGCCTTTTTGAATTTAAAGCAGTAATTCACATTATTATCCATTTCAGGTAGTTATAATCAGTTTAACATTTATCTGAAACAATCACTGGAAACAAAGAGGAACAGATTTAGCCTTTTCAAATTACTATTCATTTTATTACACTCAAAAATTGTAGGTACCAATACAGGTGGGTAGTTGTTAAGCTACTAACAAATGGGAGTCAAGTACTGCCAAGAGTGATTTAAGGTCTATGTAATAGTCTATGGGAACTGGCAATAAATGAGCTGATAAAATGGGATAGGGATGTTTATCACACATTCCTTACAAGTATTTGTTCAATTATTTGCTTGAGCATTCTATTTTATGTGTCATCGTTCATATTAAAAAGTTGTGCATACTATAGTTATCTAAAAGTTGTAACAAAAGTTATGAACAGTTTCACAGAAAAATGGACATCCTTACACCTACACAAGATTCCGTGTTCCTTTCTGGGGCGTTTCGTAGGTATGAAGGACCCTCAGGTGTCTATCCTAACTCTTTCCCAGCTGGGCTATCTGTATTATTTGTACCTTACCATATCAGGCATAAACCTAATTGTGAAATTTACAAAATGTGACTAGCTTAGCTCAATGATATTTGAGGGTAGTGCACATGTGCATGGCTCACATTCTGTTAAACATAATAATCCATGACATACATTAACTTTTAAAAAAGAGGTATGGGGGTCGGCGCCGCGGCTCACTAGGCTAATCCTCCGCCTGCGGCGCCGGCACCCCGGGTTCTAGTCCCAGGTGGGGTGCCGGATTCTGTCCCCGTTGCCCCTCTTCCAGGCCAGCTGTTTGCTGTGGCCCAGGAGTGCAGTGGAGGATGGCCCAGCTGCTTGGGCCCTGCACCAGCAAGGGAGACCAGGAGGAAGCACCTGGCTCCTGGCTTCGGATCAGCGCAGTGCGCCAGCCAAAGCAGCCATTTGGGGAGTGAACCAACGGAAGGAAGACCTTTCTCTAAGTCTCTCTCTCTCACTGTCTGTAACTCTACCTGTCAAAAAAAAAAAAAAAAAAAAAGGAGGTATGGGAGCCAGCATTGTGGTGTGGTGGGTTAAGCCACCGCCTGCAATGCCAGCATCCCATATAAATCGGGTACCAATTCAAGTCCCGGCTCCCCCATTTCCAACCTAGGTCTTTGGAAATGCTCTAGGAAAAGCAGAGGATGGTGGCCCAAATACTTGGGCCACTGCAGCTACATTGTAGACGCAGATGAGGTTTCCAGCTCCTGGCTTCCACCTGGCTCAGCCCTGGCTGTTGTGGCAATTTTGGGAGTCAACAAGCTGATGGAAGATCTCTCTATCCTCTGTAACACTGCCTTTTAAAAAACAAATACATCTTTTGATAAAAATAAATGAAAAAAGAGGATATGGACACATTTTTCATATCTTCATAATTCTGCACATCTATATCAGAAGAATACACTCACAGTCTCGAGTCATCATGAATAGGAATTTACACGGAAAGCAAGAGCATATTTAATGATATATAAACTTAAGGCAAATTGTAAATTTGGGGCATGTTGGAATTTTAAAAAAGCTCATGTTGACAGGCATTATATTTTTTAAAGGATTTTAGTAAAACTCAACACATATCTTCTTTTTTTTTTTTTTTTTTTGACAGGCAGAGTGGACAGTCAGAGAGCGAGACAGAGAGAAAGGTTTTCCTTTGCCATTGGTTCACTCTCCAATGGCCGGTGCGCCCGGCGCACTGTGGCGGGCGCACTGCACTGATCCTATGGCAGGAGCCAGGTGCTTCTCCTGGTCTCCCATGTGGGTACAGGGCCCAAGCACTTGGGCCATCCTCCACTGCACTCCCTGGCCACAGCAGAGAGCTGGCCTGGAAGAGGTGCAACCGGGACAGAATCTGGCGCCCTGACCGGGACTAGAACCTGGTGTGCCGGCACCGCAGGCGGAGGATTAGCCTAATGAGCCGCGGCGCCGGCCAACACATATCTTCTTTAAGTAACCCAAAAATAGGATGAATGAGAGGTTGTGAGCTACAATAATAAATAGTAATTTAATGATAAATGCTAAAAACAGTTACTATTTTCTTCAGCTGAATTTGAATTAACAAAAGTGTAGGCTAGTTAACAAAAGTGTAATTGAAAGTAACTACACGGGGGGCCTGTGCTGTGGCTCACTTGGTTAATCCTCTGCCTGTGGCGCCGGCATCCCATATGGGCGCCAGGTTCTAGTTCCGATTGCCCCTCTTCCAGTCCAGCTCTCTGCTGTGGCCCAGGAAGGCAGTGGAGGATGGCCTAAGTGCTTGGGCCCTGCACCTGAATGAGAGATCAGGAAGAAGCACTTGGCTCCTGGTTTCCGATCGGCATAGCGGCCATTTGGGGAGTGAACCAACGGAAGGAAGACCTTTCTCTGTCTCTCTTTCTCACTGTCTGTAGCTCTACCTGTCAAATAAGAAAAAGAAAGAAAGAAAGAAAGAAAGAAAGAAAGAAAGAAAGAAAGAAAGAAAGAAAGAAAGAAAGAAAGAAACTACACGGAAAGGAAGAATGCTCTTTTTATTTGAAGGGATTAGTTTCACATATTTAAAATTGCTTGTCTTTAACAACATGGAACTTTATTTTGATTGTTTATTTTTGATATATAAAGATTTAAAGTGGAAATTGTAAGGGAAATAGTTCTGAAAATACTGATTTAGTTTTGAGAAAGTATAGGAAAATATTAAGATTTGAGAAACAATACAATTAGATGTAATCTTATAATAAAGTGTATTATAAGATTTTATGTGGAGGGGCCAGCATGGTGGCACAACAGGTTAAGCCCCTGTTTGCAGAGCCAACATCCTATATGGGTGCCGGTTTGAGTCTGGTTGCTCCACTTCCCATTCAACTCCCCGCTAATGTGCCTGGGAAAGCTATAGAAGATGGCCCAAATGCTTGGGCCCCTGCACTCATGTGTGAGACCCAAGCTCCTGGCTCCTGGCTCCGGATCAGCCCAGCTCTAGCCTTTGTCACCATTTGGGGAATGAACCAGCGGATGAAAGATCTCTCTCCCTCTACACCTCTCTTTGTGTGTAATTCTGCCTTCAAGTAAATAAAGATAAATCTTAAAAAAAAAATACTTTCAGAAGTCATTTATTAAAGTGAACACTAGGGGCCGGCGCTGTGGTGAAGCAGATTTATCCTCCGCATGCCAAGTGGGCATCCCATATGGCCAGTTTGAATCCCGGCTGCTCCTCTTCCAATCCAGCTCTCTGCTGTGGCCTGGGAAAGCAGTTAAATGATGGATCTGATGCTAGGGCTCCTGCACCCGTTCGGAAGATCAGGAAGAACTCCTGGCTCTTGCCTTTGGATCCACCCAGCTCCAGCCAACAGGGCCATTTGGGGAGTGAACCAGTGGACAGAAGACCTCTCTCTCTCCCTTTCTCTGTTTGTACCTCTACTTCTCAAATAAATAAATGAAATCTTAAAAAGAGAGAGAGAGAGAACACAAAAGTCACAGTGCTTAGTGTTCCCTTTCAAATTATAAATAAGTTAAGACTTGTACTCCTAGGGCAGACATGGGGTGACAGGGGCTATGCCCTGCTGGGTGAGCCTGCATCCCCTATTAGAGCGCCTGTTGGAATCCAGGCTACTCCGCTTCTGATCCAGCATACTGTTAATACACCTGGGAGGCAGCAGGTGATCCTGCCAAGCACCTGGGAGACACCAATGGAGTTCAAGGCTCCTAGGTAGGGGCGGGCCCATTCCAGACTATTTCTGTCATTTGGGGAGTGAACCAGCAGATGGATGATCTCTTTGTTACTCTGCCTTTCAAATCACATAAGTGGACTTGTCCCCTCCATTTTAATCAGTGTATCGTCACTCTCTGTCTTGCAGTTTTTTTCTGTTCTCTTTCTTCTCCAGGATCCCCGGCATCCAGCTCTGGAAGGAATTTAGCTTCATTCTGAAAGGGAAGCATGTCCAGCACCCCAGGAACTGAAAGTGGTGATGAGCAGAGCTCCCGGGCCTCTGTGTCTGCCCTTCCCTCTAGAGAAAGATGGAGCAGCAAAGCGGCAGGCGGCGGGTGCTGGACGAAGAAATTTCGCATCTATAAAGCAATAGCTTGGCAAATGATCTGACTATGGCGTGAAGCTCCAGGCCACTTCCCAAGAGTTTGGCGATTCTGCCCAGGGAGTTGTAACCCCTCCAACCAGGCCAAATCTTCTTTCCTTTGCAACTGCCCCAGTCCCAGAAGCTGTTTTTGCACACTCTTGAATCCCTGGGCTCAGCACCGCCTCCCACCTTCATGCCCAGCAAACCCAGTCATCCCGCCCTTGGCTACCTTCAGCCTTGAAGATGGGTACAAACCGGGTCCTCACACAACCTAGAGACGAGCAGCCTCCTGGGTTAGATCCGAATCTCCGCGCAAGGGAGGGGGGGAACAGGAGGGAGAAAGGAAGGCCCAACACGGCTGCAGGTGGGGGACTCTCCTGCGGCGTCGCGACCTGGGTCCGGACCGCCAGAGTTACAGGTCGCCCCAAACTCGCTCAGCCTTGCTGGCCAGCGCGCTCAAGTTATTCCTCTGGGAGGCGCTGAGCGCGGGCGCGAAAGGGTGCGCGGTGTGCAGCGGCATGCACGGCTCCACTCACCCAGCGAACCCGCGCGGCAGCGGGAGGGGGCGCGGAGGCAGGTTCCGCCTCCCCTGGCCGGCGCGCACTCACGCCCACCGCGGCTCGGGCTGGCGGAGCGCCGGCGAGAGTGCGCGCGCCGCGGGAGCCGCTCCGGCCTCTCCACGCACTCTGCTCAGGGCGTCTTGAGAGCCTGGGAACGTGAACAGGCTTGAAGTATGGCATGTTGCGAAGATGGTTTCTGCCAAGAAGGTGCCCGCGATCGCGCTGTCCGCCGCGGTCAGTTTCGCCCTCCTGCACTGCCTGTGCCTGGCGGCTTGGTGAGTTCCGCGCGGGTGTTGTGGGGCCAGGGGAAGGCGGAGGAGCGGTCGGCTCCTGGCCCGCTCTGGCCACCCGCTTCCCTCTGGGCTAACCAGATGTTCCTGTCTCGGTTGCAAGATCCGAGTCCGGAGCCACAGCCAAGCTTTCCTGTGACCGCGTAGAAGCGGAGCACACGAGGGACTCAGGGTCCGGGAAGCGTGTTGGTGCTGGGTTGTGTGCGCGTGGGGTGCGCTTTTCCTGACCATTTTGGTCTTCCGCATTCCAACCCCCAGCTATGCTTCTTGTAGCGACTCAATCCCTAGAAGGCAGACCTGCTTCCACCTGTTCGCTGATCAATTCTTAAAATAATCCTTTCCGCCCCCGTTTTATTTATTTATTTCTTTATTTTTGCCCTTACAGTTTAAACGAATCCCCAGGACAGAACCACAAGGAGGAGAAATTGTGCCCGGAAAATTTCACCCGCATCCTGGACAGTTTGCTGGATGGTTATGACAACAGGCTTCGTCCCGGATTTGGGGGTACGATTTCAAGCGCACGCGTGTGTCCCGTCTGTCCCTCTGGTCTCTCCGTCTGCCTGTCTGTCTCTCTGTGGGAAAGTCAGTAGGTATGCAAAAGAAATACCGCTCCCTCTCGCTTTCCCTCTTCCTCCCCCCCTGCCTGCCTCCCCCACCCCCTCTCCGTGAGACCTGTGACAAGAAGCCCGCCCCCACTCCTCCATTCCCATCTCCCTGCCCCCTCAGGAGCTTTTCTCCCCCACATTAATTACCTCCCGGGACCTGACTGTTGGGTGGGGGAGGTTGGAGGGGAAGAGTCAAAAATGGAAACTCAGGGCTCTGCCGCGCCCCACAATGGAGTTTGCCTGAGCCTGGCCGGTTGGCCCATAGCAGGTCTTTCTGAAGGCAGCTGATCCCAAGTCCTCTGTCCTCCCACGTGTCCAACCCTCTGCCCAGAGCTTTCTGGCCAGGACATGGATCTAGGGCACGAAGCTGCCTGCTTTGCTAGGGAACCCAGTCCTTGCCTGTCCTCTTCTACAGCAGGGTACATTTTTTACTTTCTTTGGGGACATGACATTTGCTTTCCTCCTGAGGCGTTGGACCCAGAGCTGTTGAGCCTTCTTCCTTCAGCAAATATTTATAAAAGGCGCACTAGAGGCTCATCCATTAATAGTATCACTGGTCTTTTTCCTGTTCTTATTTCATTTGCATATGAAAGGAGAATCTATGTGGCAAGCTTTGTGCCCAACACTAGGTTCACAGAACTCTAGATATAAAGGGTCCAGTTGAGCAAGGACAAGGGACTTGCTAGGGTGCTGGTCATAGAGTTGGCTAAGGTCTTCTGATGGCAAAGTCCCTGCTTTTTCTAATACATGAGCTAGTTACCCTTCAGCAAAGGAGTCGAACTAGGCCTAATCTGTTATGTATGCAGTTATATTTTTGTAGTTAATTAATTAATTATATTTATTTTGAAAGAGAGAAATAGCGATAAAGAGAGCTCCCATATGCTGGTTTACTCCAAAAATGCCTGCAACCGCCAAAGCTGGGCCAGACCAAAGTCAGGAGCCAGGAACTCAATCCGGGTCTCACAAATGAGTGATAGAGATCCAACCACTTGAACTGTCACCTGCTTCCCCCAGGGTGGAGTCTGAAGTACAGCGTGTGCAAGAATGCAGAGACTCTGACATGGGATAAAGGCATCCCAAGAGGCATCTTAACTGCTGTGCCAAACGCTGGCCCTTGAGCTTCTATTTTAGTAGCAGCAGTGCAGAGTGACAATAGCAACCACCAATATAGGACTTACTTAATTACATTTTCATATATACTAAAGGTTCTACAAGCATTTCTCTCTTTAACTCTGGCAACACCTGAGAGGAAAGCCATTGTTATTCCCATTTTGCAGGTAATAAAATGGAAGCCTGGGAAATCTGGTCTGAGTTCACAGTTAGTAGGTGGCTGGACAGGATGTGAGCTGAGATCGGGTTATAGACATAAAACGTAAACGCATGCAGATTTGGATATCAGATACTGTGTGACTCGATTCGTATCACAGCATTAGAAGCACAGAGGAATTTTATGCTTCCTATTGAAAGTGGCTGGAGAATGGAGAATGGAAAGAGTGAGGAACAGTACAACTTTGGAAAAGAGGTATCAGTGTGGTCCAACTTAGTAAGAATTGTTGGAGACAAAATAGGGCTGGATGGAGGAGAGCTGATGATTCCTTGGAGTTCAACTTGCCTGGTTTTCTCATTTAACAGATGAGGGCACGAAAGACTAAAAAAGGGAAAGTGATCCACACAAGGCACAGAACATCTTAATGGTAGATGGGGATCAGGTCTTGTGAATCCCCAGCCATTGAGAAGATTTGGGGTAGCTCTTGAAGGAACTGATTCAGTATTTGAGGGTTGAGTGTGATGAAGATGGGTGAGAGGGGAGAAAGTTTCTCCTGGTTCTGTTCCTGCTGCCTCTGCAGAGATCGGTTGCCCACACTGCATTTGCCATCGTGCAGAACTGCACAGAGAACTTCAGAGCAGAAATGAATCATTTGTCAAAGCATGATCTTTCATAAGTGACTAGGAAATTATCATTTTAGGTCAAAAATAGTTTCGTGGAGAATTTTTCAGACGACGTGATACCATTTAAGACTACATTTATCAATAAAATGGGATTTAACTACCTATAGAGGTTTTCAACTTGACATTTCAAGTAAAGAAAGAAAAAACAGGAATAGCAAATCACCAATGATTTAAATATTTATTAGAGAATTGATGTCACAGAACATAAATGAAAGTGAAAAGTTACCAACTGAAATCATAATGGTTTATTATTAACTGTTGAAAGTCAAAATAGTATCTGCCAAACTGCTTATAAAGTTATAAATTTAAGAGGAAGAAGGGGTCCGTTGTAAATGAACCTTTTTACCATGAACATAATTTGTCATCTCACTTATTACTGCCAAGTAATTTGCATTATCCAACTACAGATTATATCCTTGTAGCTTTATGAAAAGGGGTTGAATTTAAGAAATTAACTGTACTTTTATAGAAGTTGGCTGATCATTAAAAGTTTACTGCATGGCACCATGCATTTTTTGGCTGTGCTCATAAATATCTGTGGTATTTGCAATTCACTTTTTAGAAGTGGGTTATTTTTGTAAATGTGCAGTATTCCAGTTGAGACAGAGGAATCATGATTATCATCTTCAGAAACTGTATTATCTGTCTACAGGAAGCTGTAAATATACCATGAAAAATAATAAGAAAAATTATAGCTAGCACAAACTTTTACATATGTAGTTAGACCAAACTTTTAGTTTGATCCCTCTTATGACATTTTACACTTTGTGGAAATTTTGGCATTTTAAAAATAAAATGAAAACAATTCAGATTTTGACCAGTATGCTATAAATACAAGTTGACTTCCTGGTTCCTTTAATCCTGCTTCTGCTCTTTGTGGAACATTTACTTTTTATCTGTTTATACAACTTTGCTGTGTTCTATTTAAAATAAAGCTAAAAGCAAAGATTTGAATTGAAATTGGATGCTATGTGATTGCTCAGTAGGCCAGGCAGGGGTTGAAATAGATTTGGAAACTAAATTACATATTTTTAACTCAGCAGCACAGCTTGCGATGGGGAAATAAAAGGAACTGGAATGGTACTCTTCTTTTCATCCCTCCAGGATCTTCTCTCCTTTGTCCCCACGTTCTCCCACTGGAGAAGAAAAGGGGAAAAGGTGAGAAGAGAAGGAAGGAGGCATGGGGAGAGATGCTGGGTTGGGACTTCTGAAAGAATCTGGTTCTTTGAGCCTGTGACAAATCAGTTGCAATGATCCTGAAGTAGTTTGCACCTGCTTAGAAGTGGCACACCAGTGGGTTTTTCCAAAAAGGAGATAGAAGATCATCCCTCCTTGTTCCAGCCCACTTTGAACACTTACTTGGCCTTCTTAACAATGAATGACTAGGGCACTAGCCACCCAGAGAAAGCTTAGAGACCCTGCCCTTACCCATTTTGCATTTATCTTAAGGATTGCACAGCCTTTTGTGCATCTCAATCTTTTGAGGCACATTCTACAGAATAATAAATACTTCAAATATAGATGGTTTTGCCTGTTGGGGCACATTCTATAACCTCTCTGAAATAGAACGAGATCACTAGGGCCAATTTTGCAAAGTTGCTAACTAACAGAGTAGGATTTCACATTAGTGGGGTTCTTTATGCGTTTGAAAACATTTTCACAAGCAATATTTATGAAGATTGTAACAAAAACACAAGTGATAAGCAGAGAAAACATCATCTCTCTATTGGAGAGAGACTGGGAAAAGTTCCAACAAACTGTCCAAGAACCCTACAGCTAGATTTAGGGTCACAGCCCACACTCTGGTTCTAAAACCCTTAATCAGGCGGCTAGTCTGTTGCTATATCCCCTTCTGAGGACTGTTTTACTTTCTGTTTTTGCTTCATCTTATTTAACAAGAATAAAAATTTCCTGAACAGATATTCTTGTTACTAAATTAAATGAGTCTTATACTAAACTCCATTTTTCCAAAGAAGTAAAATTCTGAACCTTTAATAACATTTAAGATGGAGAAGTTTTACATGCAAAATTCCGTATGTTTAGGTAAATTTGGATGTTTTACAGTATGGATCAAATTGTTTTAGCAGTATTTATAGATAATGTATATCTTATTCTGAAAATTAAATTTCTGTGGCATATTCAGGCTTTATTAATTGAATGTCAAGAGAATATGTTTTTTAAAATAAACAGATGTCAAGAACTCATCAAATCCACAGGGCAATAGAAAGTTAGCCTTCATTTTCTTCCGATTTGTCACATTCATTCATGTGTACTGGGAGACTGCGAAGTGTTGGGAATAATATTGTGTTGTGAAGATATGATTCTGACCTAGTATGGACCCAGTATTGATCCTCATAGACTTTACAGCTAAACAATGTAGAGAGATAAAAATAGCAATGATTAAATGAAGATGATATGTGAAAAATCTAACAGCATGCAAGGGAGATAAAAAATTAAGTGAGGAATCTACTTCGGTGATGGGGGTCAATGTCTTTTAGTAGAGACCTAAAGGTGCTAGGCTTGGAAAATGTTAAAGTAAAGGTTATTCTCAGGAAGAACACAGAACACAAGTCAAAAGATCCAAAGATAGAAAATAAATTTAAATTAGTGTCATTCAAACAGTGAGAGGAGCCTGGTGTGTCTGTAGCCAGAAAGTAAGAGGAAGTCTCTCTCAGAATTTGGTGGGGTGGTGAGGAGAGGTCAGGTCATATAAGGCCTTTGGAGTCCTGCAAAGGAAGTTGGATTATTCTCTTAATGAACCTGGAAGTCCCTGGAGTTCTTTAAGCAGCAATATTGACTACGTGGCTTAGGTGTGAATATAATCCATCTGGCTGGCCTACAAAAGAAAGCTTAGGAAAGAAGGTGTTTCCAATACTGGGAATAAGGACCCCAGTGAGGAAGCTTTCTCTTTCTGGGGGGTAGGGCTGGCTGTCCATTAAGTAGATGATC